AATATACGCTCATTATTATGGATAGCTGCTAGGGCCGGGTGTGGCGCCCGGCGGCGTTGGAGTGATGCATGAATCTGATGTAGACACACTTGCTGCTAAGGCGGCAATGCAAATCCATATGGACGGTGCATTTTGCGCGCCGCCTCCATCTCAACAAGAACGGCTGAGCTGAGCATATCTATACAGCCTCCTGGTAGTGCGCGACCCCAGTTCCCCATTGCCAGTCGAACTGGAGGATAGAACATGTATGAGATGCGTGCGTGAGACGGATCATCTAGTGTGGCGGCCGGCGGATCCTGCAGTCCGCGGCAACCAGCAAGCGACCAGACCATCCAGGCCGCACCTGCGGGGCACTCGGCGCCATCTCTGGTGGCTGTATCTCCCGGGGAGAACTTTCCAAACACGTCCCACCTGGCTTTACCATGTTCCCTTCATCCGCTTTCCCAGCTTTTTCTCGTCAGCGCACGTTGACTCAGCAGCACACCTTGACACCACCACGAGCATCTCACGCCGCCAGGCTCCCTCGCTTCAATTTTCCTAACCCACCTCTGCCATGCCGTCATGCCGTACCTGCTTGACGAGGTCACGGCACGTCAGCACCGGCGCCAGCTCCACGTCGCTCGGGATTTCCCCACGCCACACATCGCCCGGGACCGGAACTTCCTCGCGTTCGGACCGGTAGTCTGTGCAAAGGAAAAGGGAGCACAGCATCGCTCAAAAGTCAAAACACGCATAGCTGCGAGTACGATTGTTTGTTGAAGGGTGTCGCTGAGCGCGTTCCTAAACGTCCTCCATTGACATGAACTAGTAGGCTACGCGGGGAGATTGTCAAGGATAGCGCAAGAGCGCCTTTACCGATGGAAATGGTCATCATCGCCCCGCGGTGTCAGCTGGTTATGGGTGTGCACATGCACGTGGGGCAGGTGAGGGTGGGGTAGGAGGGGAGGAGAGGAGATGCAGCAGGTGTGGAAAAATGGAGGAAGAAGCCAGAAAGTCGGGAAAGTGGGATGGGGGTTTAAAAAGGTATAGGAGAGTCTTTGCGGAAGTGGATGCCAGTGTGTTTCGTGTCAGGAGCCCGGGGACCCCAGGGGGGGGGGGCATCCACAGGGCGTGCCATCCCTGCGAAACACCCGCCTGTGTCGTACCTTGTAGGGCCCAGCTGTAGCTGCCGTGTAGCGCCGTTTCCTTAATATCAAACCAGCGTGCGTCGCGATCGTCGTACACCGGCTCCCATCCGGACAGTGGCAGAGTGTGGCGTGGCCTGCGGGTTGTTTTGGGTCGTTTTTGGCCAGCGTGGCGAGCGTGATATGCGC